ACAGGTGGCGCCCCCCTGGGATGTGTGTTGCCGCCCGCACCCCCCGGGACGCTCCCGCCGCTGCACGCCGCCTTACACCCACGGGTGCTTACCCCTGACCACGCAGGCCGCTCCAGGTGCCGAAGCAGCTAGCTCCGCCTCTGGTCTAGAGCAAGCACCAAAAATTAAAGCAGGATTGAATGAGTCTCTAGCCTTTAAAAATAATGGTCTGAGGTAATTCTGGTGTGGGCAGTAAGTGTGAGAGTTATGTGAGCAGAATTCCCTGGCCTGGATCTTGTGAATCAATAAACTCTCCACACCAAGAAAGAGTTTCAAAGTTACTCTAAGCTATCTTAAAATTTGTTACCAACAAAATAAATAAATACAAATCAACACATTGCACTTAAACAACTAGCAATGTAGTCCAGTTTTTTTAAAGTTCTTTTTGGTTAATATAGTCCATGAACTATTGCTTCTTCATTATACTGGCAGCTTCAGGGAGAGACCCAGGCTCCAAGAGATAAATTATCAGTTAACATAAATATCGAAACATTGAGGCTCCTGCTCTTCCAACCTGCTTCTTCTGCTCTCCCTTTCAGTCCATCCATCTCCTTCATGCCCATTTCCTCTTCTGCTTTCCAGGAATTATATTCAGCAATGGGGAGGTGTGGAAGCAGCTCCGACGTTTTGCCCTTACCACCCTGCGCAACTTTGGCATGGGAAAGAAAAGTATTGAGGAGAGGATCCAGGAGGAAGCACAGTTCCTGCTAGAAAAGCTCCAGGACACTCAGGGTGGGTAGCCACTGCCCCTCATCCACATAGGCTTATCAAGCAGACCCCCTTGAACATCACAACAGATGCTGAGGTACATTACAACAGATTATTAACCACCAACTCATAAAGAAATAGCATGGTAGGTACAAGGAAATCATTAAAAATTAAAATCGTAAAACACAGAACTAGTGACCAACACTGAATCAAATAAATTGCCTAAAAACACTTGTGAAATACAGTGGTACCTCAGGTTAAGTACTTAATTCGTTCCGGAGGTCCGTACTTAACCTGAAACTTTTCTTAAGCACCACTTTAGCTAATGGGGCCTCCCGCTGCCGCCGCACTGCCAGAGCACAATTTCTGTTCTTATCCTGAAGCAAAGTTCTTAACCTGAAGCAGAGTGCTCTGCAGATATTGTTGATTTCCAGCTGCTTTCAGCCCCAACAGTCATCAGTGGTCCAGAAGTTACAGTCTAGCAGCATCTGAAGTGCTTTGGATTCTTTAGTTTTAGTCTAGAGTTCACCCAGGCCTGCTCCACTGTGGTCACCCTTTCCTATCTAAGGATATATTAGCTGAAGCTGGAAGAAAGCACTTTGGAAAGTCCTTGGAAGAAATCACTCATAGCCACTGAAGATGCCCATGCCTTCAGAATTGTTGTGAGAAAGGCAGCTTCCTGTCTGACCACTGAGGCCTGGAGCCAGGAAATGGCAGCTCAGAAATTCCAGACTAGATTATTGCCTAAAACCTGTAGTGGGGTTGTATAATTATTTTTTTGTTGTCCTTCCAGGGAAGCCCTTGGATCCAACCTACTTGCTCAGTTGCGCTCTCTCCAATGTCATTTGTGCAATTGTCTTTGGGAAACGATACGATTATAATGACAAGAAGTTCCTATCCATGATGAGCTTAATGAATGAAAACTTTCAGGTTTTAAGCTCTTCTTGGGGACAGGTAGGTGCCATCTTTTTAAAGGCCCTTTCCCACAAAGTCTAAATTTTCCTGCTGTTTAAATGTCTTTCTTCCAGGCTTCTCATGGCCCATACTGCCTCTGCCTCTTAATATTTCTGTTAATGTCCTAGTTGCAGGTTTGCCATGAGCAACTGGTTAGCCACTGTGACAGCACAATGGGCCACTGGCCTGATTCAATAGGCTCTTCTTATGTTTTTAATTTGGAGAGCCAATACCAATACCTGGGTCTAATAACCAAGGCTTGACTTAACTCAACAGCAACCCGGTGGAATAGGAAGTAAAGCTTAACGAGTAAAACCCACAGGCTCAATACTGTAACTGGAACTAATCACTTGGGATGTATATACACTGCCATTGCCTCTGCATCCAATGTGCTTCCACTAATGGTTTGAGAAGGTGTGAATACATGATGTTAGTCACAATCGATATTTAACCTGCCATTTCTTATGAAAAGTTGCGCCTTGCTGAATTTTAAGCCAGGGATGTGTACACGGACTGGTTTCAGTAGGAGAAACAGATGGGACTACATTTAGAGATATGTATGTAATCCCATAGCTCAGTTTTAGAGCATTTGGCTTGTTTATATAGGGTCCCAGAGTCAATCCCTAGTAGCATCCCTGGTTAGGGATGGGACTCCTGAATGAAATCCAGCAGAGCTGCTGCATAGGCACTACTGACCTTGAGAGACCAATGGTCTCATTCAGTATATACCTTTTAACATGTGGATTTGGGGGGGGGGGGTAATTGGGTTGTTGTTTTTATTTTGATTATGCATTTTGTGGTTTTATATTTTGATTTTAGTCTGCGAACCACCCTGGGACCTGTGGGTATAAATTCAATACACAATAATAAAAAAAATAATGATATAAGACAACTGATGGGGAACATCTACATAGATTTGGGAAGCATTGGTAGTGAAAATGCTGGTGTGTGGACAACAGAGTTGACATGAACACAAGGCAACAGTGGCCAACATTATACTGAAGCCCGAGTTTGGACAAACCCTGACTGAGGTTGGTGCCAATGGGTCTCTTGTGTTTTTCTAGCTCTACAACCTCTTTCCTTCTTTGATGAAATGCATCCCTGGGCCCCACCATAAAGTGCTGAAAAACAAATTGGCAGCCAGAGAGTTTGTTTTGGAGGAGGTTGAAGAGCACAAGGCCACTCTGGACCCCAGCTCACCTCGGGATTTTATCGACTGCTTCCTTATGAAAATGGATCAGGTAATCATGAAAACTCACAGACCTCTCCATGTGGGTTCTCCTGCCACTCCTGAAGCTTCCCAACCAGCAGACTTCCATCCAGCTTCTTGTGGGGAATGCCAAGGAATGAGATTCCTGCCCACACCCCATTGGAGTAGATTCATTTCCCATTGCTGACCTGTTCTTGCAGTAAGTGGGAAGTTGTTTCTAATGATTAGCCCTCTGGGCAAGGAATGTCAAGAGGAATGAGCTGTAAAAGGACTTGAGATAAGATGTTGTATCTTGGGACGGGAGCTGGTCCCAGTGGCACAGTTAAATTCTTGTTATGTTGTACTCAGAACAATTGAGTTGACTCCACTGACTGTGTTGTGTGTTTCTGCAGGAAAAAGGTAATAGTGCATCCCATTTCACCATTGAAAACCTGGCCGTAAGCACAATTGACTTGTTTGTGGCTGGAACAGAGACCACCAGCACCACGCTGCGATACGGGTTCATGATCCTCCTCAAATACCCAGAGATACAAGGTAAAATGGATGCGATGTTAGTATTTATTGTTCTAGTTTTCTCCTCAATTTATATGTCACAGGTCCAAGAGGTTGTTGTTCTGCCACTTTCCCCAGGAAAACCCACTGTTCATTGCTGAATGTTAACCATCGCTGACTGACATCAGCAGTAGACAGAAGGCTTTCCTGGAGAAAACAGGGGGGGGGGACCAAATGCTCATACCCATGCCTAGAAATCCCAGCAAAAACAGACGTGTGGATGAGCTCTTATAGCTGACCATATTGTAAACCCCAGGATTTTATATACAAACAGTAACAACTTGAACTTGGCCCAGTAGTATAGTGGCAGCCAGTGCAGATCCTTTAGACTAAGGCATCACATCCTGCACCAGCTGCACTTTCTGTGCCAGCCTGAAGGGTAGCCCACAAAGGCACAACCACAAGGGCCAGGGGTCAAAAGGCCCTCAGGTAGGATCAGAATCACTGCAGGACAGTGCCTCCAATAGGAATCCCTCTAAGCTGGACCATCACTTGCTCCTAAAACTTCCCTAAAGAGGAGGCTTTTGTCCCTCTGGGCTCCTTTTGGATAGAAATTGAATTAATATATAAATAATTGCAGTTATACTATGTTTCCCTGTTTACAGATGGATTACTGAAGGTGAGCTACAATAATTTGTCTGAGTTAATGTGATGAGTCAACAGAAAGTTGGTATCAGAAAACAATTGAAAGCTCCAAAATGTGCAGGGGCTGGCAGGCACTCCCATGGAATTTCAATTGCTTCTATGATGTTTCCTGCACTGGTGTTAAACCTCATTCTTCCCATTACAGACAAAGTGCATGAAGAAATTGACCGAGTTATTGGCCGATCACGAAGTCCTTGCATGGCAGATCGTGGGGCAATGCCTTACACAGATGCTGTCATCCATGAGATCCAGAGGTTCATCTCTCTCATCCCACTGAGCGTCCCTCATGCAGTACTCAAAGACACACCGTTCAGACAATATGTCATTCCAAAGGTCAGCTCTTTTCAAGGCTCTGAGTAGTAATAGTAGGCTGCTAGCCATGATGGCTATATTCTACCTCCATGGCGAGAGGCAGCATACTTCTGAATACCAGTGGGTGGAAACCACAGGAATTGAGAGTGCTGTCTTGTTTAGATTATGTTTAAGGGCTTCCCATGGGCATTTGGTTGGACACCATGAAAACAGGATGCTGGACCAGATGGGGCCACTGGACTGATCCAGCAGAGCTTTTCTTCTCTTCTTATCTACAAGCAAGGGAAGTGTTGTTGTTTAGTCGTTTAGTCGTGTCCGACTCTTCGTGACCCCATGCCAGGCACTCCTGTCTTCCACTGCCTCCCGCAGTTTGGTCAGACTCATGTTTGTGGCTTCGAGAACACCATCCAACCATCTTGTCCTCTGTCGTCCCCTTCTCCTTGTGCCCTCCATCTTTCTCAACATCAGGGTCTTTTCCAGGGAGTCTTCTCTTCTGATGAGGTGGCCAAAGTATTGGAGCCTTAGCTTCACTATCTGTCCTTCCAGTGACCACTCAGGGCTGATTTCCTTAAGAATGGATGCGTTTGATCTTCTTGCAGTCCATGGGACTCTCAAGAGTCTCCTCCAGCACCATAATTCAAAAGCATCAATTCTTCGGCGATCAGCCTTCTTTATGGTCCAGCTCTCACTTCCATACATCAAGGCAAGGGAAGTAGTTTAGCCCAACTCCTAAAGTGTAGCTGGGCATCTTCAGGCCTGGACTTCATTTTAAACACCCTATTGTTTTCTGACGCTGCCCCATTCTTCTCTGTATCAACAAAGTACCTTCCTTCCTGTTAGTGCCTTCCCACACCATTCCTTTGTGAGAGTCAATTTTATGCTTTCGTTGGGTGTCATGGCCATCAAGCCCATTTCTTTGCACTCTCTGCAGGGTACTACCATATATCCTATTCTGACGTCTGTACTACATGACAGCAAAGAATTTCCAAACCCCAAAGAATTTGACCCGGGACATTTCTTGCACAAAGATGGCACCTTCAGGAAGAGCGACTATTTCATGCCTTTCTCAGCAGGTAAGATCTCTGCTTCCTCAGTTGGCTGCGGTCTTGGCCAGCTCAGGTCTTTCCCGTCTCCCTAATCGGCTGGTGTCGGGGCAATGAGGGGGAACCTCCTTCCTCCTGCAGCCTAAACTGGAAGGGCTGCCAGTTTGTGAGGGAGGGGCAGAGGCTTCTGGGTCCATCAGAACTCCTTGCACCTTTCCTGTGACCAGCTGAAGCAAAAGAAATGGTGGAAAGAGTGACTCTCCCAGGAGCTGTTCTGGAGCAGCACCTTTGCTCCTTTGGCATGATTGTTATTTTCTCCGTAACAGCCAAAGTGGTTGTTATGCATCTTACACTTTGGGTTTCCTTTGCAGGGAAGCGGATATGTGTGGGGGAGGTCTGGCCCGTATGGAGATCTTCTTGTTCTTGACCACCATATTACAGAACTTCACTCTGAAGTCCATCATTGACCCCAAGGACATCGATCTCACACCTGTGTTGAGCAGCATAGGCAACTGCCCTCGGCCCTATCAGCTCTGCATTGTCCCTCGCTGAAAAACCTGCCTCAGGAGGGCTGCACATGTGGAAAAGTCGCAGCCCGGCAAATCTTTGTTCAAAAAACCCTTAACACAATATCTCCTCACGTGTGGAGCCCTATCTTCTTACCTGACTAGTTGTTGAAATGTTACTTTGGGGATCATGCTAGAGACTATTTCACATTGAAGACATTATTGCAATGGACAAATAGCAGGATTTAGAAATTAGCCACACACAAAAATCCCATTCTTCTCTTTCTTGCCCCTTCATATGCATATGTGTGCAGCGGCGTAGCTAGCCGCTGGAGTGACTGGTGCGGGGGCGTGTCCTGCAGCCAGGGATGTGTCGAGTGACCCATGGGGGCGAGGCAAGCCTCTCCAATGCTTGGAGCCTCTTCGCCACCTCCCCCTCAGCTGTAGGGTGTCTGAGGGAGAGGCAGACAGAAATCCCACGCTGCAGTGCGAAACTTGCAGGTGCCTAAACCACCATGTCACTCCAAAAAATTTCATGAGCCCAATTTTTTAAAAACTCATTTTGTCACACACCCCTCAATGATGACATCCGGGGCAGACTGTACCCCCCACCCCCTTCCTCCGCCACTGTATATGTGTGATGGGCAAAATCTGCCAAGATGTAAGCTTTTTAGCCACCGAGTCTTGTTACTCTTTGGGCTAAATGAAGCCAATCAGAGTGGAAGGAACTGAGTCAACCACTGAGGAACTGGTGACCCTCAATGGTGGTTGGAGCCTGCGCCCATCACCCCTGATGTTGGCTGGGGCAGATGGGGGCTGGAGTCCAGGAATATCTGAAGGGCTGCAGGTTCCCCATTCTTGCCATGAGGGCTCAGTTGGGACAACTCCCATAATCCCATTTCATTGGATAGGTGGCTGGAGATAGTGGGAGCTGCAGTCCAGCAACAAAATCTCCAACCTTTACTTGGTGGGTTGAAGTGCTGCAGGCTGTAGAAGCTGGGTGGGTTGAGACCCCTGTCTGAGATGACCTTTTCATTCCCTCGCATGTCGTACCTGAGATACAGCAAAGTTGTTTAACTGAGTGACAACATAAGCTTTTTTGGTAACCCTTCTATAGATCTGTACACTGAGATTGGCAGGTATGTCAATGCTAATAATAAAGCACAGGCAGACAATTTTATTTGGAAAGATATTCCAATAAACTCAGTTTGGAGTTTCCCGGTCCTAGACCAAAACGTCTTTCACTTTCAGCCTGAGCTAAGAAGGAAAGTCTTTGGAGGGTGCTGCAGAAATCAATAGCTTTTAAAATCTTTACCCCTTTCAACTAGTAGAACATCCTTGAGACTTGACATTTACAAATGTTTGCCAATAATTCCTTTAAGGGTAACCATGTTCTAAAGAACAGATAGCAATACTGGATGCAACTGAACTTCTGAGTAAGTACAGTGGTGCCTCGCAAGACGAAATTAATTCGTTCTGTGAGTTTTTTCGTCTTGCGAAGCACGGTTTCCCATAGGAATGCATTGAAAATCATTGCAATCAAAACAAACTTGCAAGACATTTTCGTTTTTCGTCTTGCGAAGCAAGCCCATAGGGAAATTCGTCTTGCGAAGCAACTCAAAAAACAAAAAACTCTTTCGTCTTGCGAGTTTTTCGTCTTGCGAGTTTTTCATCTTGCGAGGTACCACTGTATGGGAAATGAACTAAGTTGGATCCAGAAATCTACTAGTCCTAGGAAGCATATCTTCAAGATAGGCACAGAGCATAGATGGGCAAGATCTCCCAAGCCTACCTTGGATGAACTTGGAAATCATCCAAGATCTTCCAGGATAAGAAAACTATTTTTTTTCCTCCTGAGCCCAACTGAGGCTCTCACTGTCTTTAAAAATCTAGAACTGAGAAAATAGCTCTCCCTCAAATTCTCCACTTACTTTGTGGGTGGCAAAATAAGGAAGGTCATTGTGGCGTTTGCCCTCCTAGGTGTGTGACATCATACTGGGTTCATAAGGAAAGGGTTAACTAATTGTAAAATGACTAACCTATAGGAACCCAAGGGGAGAAGTTAGAGTTAGAGTTGTTAAGAAGTCAGTCTGGAGTTAGAGAAGGGAGAGGGAGGATAAGTCTGTGGTTTGGGCTAGTTTGATGTGAGAACGTGAGAGAATCAGTTAAGAGGAGTCAGTTAAACAGTTGGGAAAATCAGTTAGAAGGTATTAGAAAGGTATAGGCCGGTAAAGAAACTAAGATTAAGAAACTGACAAGAAAATTAACTGAGAAACCATATTTGTTAATGCTTACAAAATAAACTTGTTTATTTGATTTAATTTTAACAACTGTCTGGACTCAGTGTGTACCCGAGAGTAACGGGTTGGTGGCAGCAGGGAAGCGAGCACAGTGGTGGCGCAGGGATCAATAGATCGTCAAACGTCCGGGAACCCAGTGTGATTGCCACAGTCATTTCACTGAATATTCTCCAAGGGAGGACTGAAAACCTCCAGGAGGACTTGGAGAGGGAAAACTTTCAAAGAATTGTCAGAATTTCTTTCCTCTCAGTCTTCCTTCAGCCCTGCTCCCATTCAGTGTAACAGAAAAATGTTTCCCTAGTACAAATTCAGAGGCAGCCTGGGCAAAATTGGTGAGGGAAGTCCACCTATGAAGTTAACCAAGGGAGAATGGTCTTCCTCTTCTGTCTTCAGAATTTTTCTTTTTGGTTCCTGCACCCTCTCAATTAGCTCCTATTCAAAGTAGTGAAGTAATGTTTCTCCATTGCACTGAATGGAAGGGGCAAGAGGAAGGAACTTGTCTCTGATTTTAATTCAAGCTGGAGAAGAATTCGGGGCTTGAAATGCTTGTCCTCTGTCCCCATCGAAACCCCTGAAGGTCTTCTCCAAGCCAAAGTTTGGAGAAGTGTGCTGGTTTCACTTGCATAGAAAACCACTGCTCCACTTCTTCTGGAGAATAAGAACACATCCAGATGTATGTGTTTTTTTACCTGTTTGTGAAATGGAATGACTTTATAGATGTACTTCACCCTCCCAGAGCTAAATAAATAATACTTTGACAAACTGAATGCTGTCACTTGTAAAGATTATGCAAGTATAGCAATTTTATTTGCAGATTTATAAACTGCTTTACAACCAAACATTACTGCAGCTGTATTCAGTACCGATTCCCCTGACACATCTAATCTAAGGATGACATGCTGCTTATGATGTAACAATGCAAGCACTCCAGAATTTACAGATATTTACAGACCACGTCCACACAGGATTAAAGTGTAGTATTTTGTCTCAATCTGCCCCTCTGAACAAGCTTATATTAGCTGATGAAAACCCTCTCCCATGCCCACACTTTTAAGCAGTTTGCCATTGCTTCTTTTTATCTAAGTTGTATATAAAAAAAAGAGGAGATCTGTGGCAATTTAAAGACTTAACTGTGTTTATTTGTAAAGGGAGTAAGATTTGCTAGGGCATACTTCCTCAGATGCAGAATGGGTGGCAACAACAACAACATAGTATTAGTATTAGTATTAATAATAATGTACAGCGGTATCTTGGGTTAAGTACTTAATTCGTTCCGGAGGTCTGTTCTTAACCTGAAACTGTTCTTAACCTGAAGCATCACTTTAGCTAATGGGGCCTCCTGCTGCTGCCGCGCCGCCGGAGCATGATTTCTGTTCTCATCCTGAAGCAAAGTTCTTAACCCGAGGTACTACTTCTGGGTTAGCGGAGTCTGTAACCTGAAGTGTCTGTAACCTGAAGCATCTGTAACCCGAGGTGCCACTGTATAGTAATAAAGGAGAATGCATGCTTTCTCCCTGAGGATCCCCATGCACCTCACATTTGGACACTAAGCACTGGTTACCCACAAGTGCAGCAGCAAGAATGCAGCCTCCTATTCATTCTGTGGACGAGAGCCCTGTCTCCTTCCTCTGAGGGCTCATCATGGTGTAGTTATACAGTGGTACCTCGGGTTACATGCTTTAATTCCTCCTCACTTTCTGCCATCAAGGTTGTGTCATCTGCATATCTGAGGTTGTTGATATTTCTTCCAGCAATCTTAATTCCGGCTAGGGATTCATCCAGCCCAGCCTTTTGCATGATGAATTCTGCATATAAGTTAAATAAGCAGGGAGACAATATGCAGCCTTGTCGTACTCCTTTCCCAATTTTGAACCAATCAGTTGTTCCATATCCAGTTCTAACTGTAGCTTCTTGTCCCACATAGAGATTTCTCAGGAAACAGATAAGGTGATCAGGCACTCCCATTTCTTTAAGAACTTGCCATAATTTGCTGTGGTCGACATAGTCAAAGGCTTTTGCATAGTCAATGAAGCAGAAGTAGATGTCTTTCTGGAACTCTCTAGCTTTCTCCATAATCCAGTGCATGTTTGCAATTTGGTCTCTGGTTCCTCTGCCTCTTCTAAATCCAGCTTACACTTCTGGGAGTTCTTGGTCCACATACTGCTTGAGCCTTCCCTGTAGAATTTTAAGCATAACCTTGCTAGCGTTTGAAATGAGTGCAGTTGTGCAGTAGTTGGAGCATTCTTTGGCACTGCCCTTCTTTGGGATTGGGATGTAGACTGATCTTCTCCAATCCTCTGGCTACTGCTGAGTTTTCCAAACTTGCTGGCATATTGAGTGTAGCACCTTAACAGCATCATCTTTTAAAATTTTAAATAGTTCAGCTGGAATACCATCACTTCCACTGGCCTTGTTATTTGCAGTGCTTTCTAAGGCCCATTTGACTTCACTCTCCAGGATGTCTGGCTCAAGGTCAGCAACCACACTACCTGGGGTGTACGAGCCATCCATATCTTTCTGGTATAATTCTTCTGTGTATTCTTGCCACCTCTTCTTGATGTCTTCTGCTTCTGTTAGGTCCTTACCACTTTTGTCCTTTATTATGGTAATCTTTGTACGAAATGTTTCTTTCATATCTCCAGTTTTCTTCAACAGATCTCTGGTTCTTCCCATTCTGTTGTTTTCCTCTATTTCTTTGCTTTGCTCGTTTAAGAAGGCCTTCTTGTCTCTCCTTGCTATTTTTTGGAAATCTGCATTCCTTTCCCTGTATCTTTCACTATCTCCCTCGCATTTTGCTTGCCTTCTCTCCCCCGCTATTTGTAAGGCCTCGTTGGACAGCCACTTTGCTTTCTTGCATTTCCTTTTCATTGGGATGGTTTTCGTTGCTGCCTCCTGTATAATGTTGCGAGCCTCCATCCATAGTTCTTCAGGCACTCTGTCCAGCAAATCTAAGTCCTTAAACCTGTTCCTCACTTCCACTGTGTATTCATAAGGGATTTGATTTAGATTGTATCTTACCGGCCCAGTGGTTTTTCCTACTTTCTTCTGTTTAAGCTTGAATTTTGCTATAAGAAGCTGATGATCTGAGCCACAGTCAGCTCCAGATCTTGTTTTTGCTGACTGTATAGAGCTTCTCCATCTTTGGCTGCAGAGAATATAATCAATCTGATTTCGATGCTGCCCATCTGGTGATGTCCATGTGTAGAGTCGTCTCTTGAGTTGTTGGAAAAGCGTGTTTGTGATGACCAGCTTGTTCTCTTGACAGAACTCTATTAGCCTTTGCCCTGCTTCGTTTTGATCTCCAAGGCCAAACTTGCCAGAAATGACTGGCAGAATCCGAGACCAGGGAGAAGAGTCGGTGAAAGAGGACTGGAAGAAATTTAAAGACTATTTACAGAAATACTGTAAAATGAATGAATCTTAGAAGGATGTTGGATAGTAATTAAGCGGTTTCTAGCTGTAATGCTTTAAGAGAATATGAAAAAAAAGGGTTATAAATGGGTTAAAATCTAATGGAAAGGATTTGCTGAACCAATAAATCGAAGTGGAATACAAAAAAGGGAGGTATGAGGAGGTCCGGGAAACAAGCTAAAGGAAAATAAGTAACTGAAAATATGTGTGTTTTTAACTGTTTTTATTTTGTATTTTTCTTTTTTTCCCCATTTCTATTGTAATATTTTAAAAAAACCCTTAATAAATATCTCATCAGTTCTGAATCTACTTGTACTTGTCCTCCACTCTTCCTCAGTAGCATGTTGGACGCCTTCCGACCTGAGGGGCTCATCTTCCAGCGTCATAACTTTTATATGCCTGTTGTCTTTGTCCATGGAGTTTTCTTGGCAGGGATACTGGAGTGGCTTGCCGGTTCCTCCTGCAGGTGGATCACGTTTGGTCAAAACTCTCCACTATGACCTGTTCATCTTGGGTGCCCTGCTCAGCATAGTTCATAGCTTCTCTGAGTTATTCAAGCCCCTTCGCCACGGCAAGGCAGTGATCCATGAAGGGGACAACCTGATCTACTTAATGGCTAATCTCATTTACTCAGAGAAGCCTAGAATTCCTATTGGTGAAAATCCATGTCTATGTGACGACCTCAGAGTATATAAAATTGGAAAGCAAATTAATTCGTCTAGAGTCATTTCAGTCACTGTTAGCTGGTGCCATGGAGCCTCTAGGGACAGTGACCATTTTGATGATCATATGTATCTCTTGCCTTGTTTTCCTTGCAGTCAGGAGCAGGACGCCAGAGAATGCAAAGCAGCTGCCACCTGGCCCACCTCCACTGCCCATCGTAGGGAACGCTCTGCAGCTGAAGACCAACAACTTGGCCCAGGTTCTCCAGGAGGTAAGCCAAAGATGAGCACCTTCTTCAACAGCTGTCTGTTGATTACCGTTACCTGTTTGCAAGCCTCTTTCCATTTGACTCTTTTGGAAGGGGACAATCCATTGTCAGTTTGTTTATTTATAGATGGTACCATCTGGGTGCAGGGCACATTTGCAGAGTCTAAGGCAACAGACTCTGCACTTTGACAGAGGAGAGGCAAGAGAGGGAGGGGAGGCATCCAGACCAGAGGAAAAGAATAGCAGAATCGCTGTGATTTCAGTGGCACGGACTTGCGCTTGGCTACATCAGCAGGGATGGGGAGCAGGGACTTGTCGCAAAGGCTCCACAGAAAAGAGGTGGACTTTGAGCAGGTCCCACAACTCCACAAAGGGGGTTGTTTTATTGTCATTTTATTATTTTATCCTTAAAATAAAAGCCATAAAGCCCCCTTCTGAGTAAAGAACTTTAAAAAGCAATAGTGCAATTTTCATACTATATTAGAGACAGGGGGCGGGGGCGGGTCCAGTTCTCCCTCCACACATGGATGGTTTGGGCATTATTGCCCTCTGAACATTTTTAGCCTCTGCTGGACAGTGTGGAGTTCATAGTCTTCTTGTATTTTGAAAAGCTGCTACTTCATTTCCCCCAGAATGTGGTTGGAAGGTACTTTAAGAATTCCCTTAGAAAAATGAGTGTGAGGTGAGATATAACATATAATCATATTTATGGTATAGAGAAAGTGGACAGGAAAACACTCTTACCCCCCTCTCATAATGCCATACCCTCCAACATTTCTCCAAAGAAAAAAGGGACATCCGATTCCATAATGATAATTTTACTATAGCCCACACACCCTACTGGGTTGCCCCAGCCACTCTGGACAGCTTCCAACATATATAAAAACATAATTAAAACATTAAAAATTAAACAAAAAAACACTTCCCTATTCAGGATTGCCTTCAGAGGGGATCGGATAACTCTATACCCTCCAACATTTCCCCAGTGAAAATAGGGACAGCCTAAGGACATTCTGTGATCAAACTGGGATGGCTTCTCTAAATCAGTGATGTCCCTGGAAAATAGGGACACTTGAAGGGTCTGTAATGCTAAAACTTGGAGTCTTCAATTAAAGCTGAGTGTTGGAAGATTTACAACACATGCAAGATAGTAGTTCTTCATACAGTGCATATTGAAACTGTGGAATTCACTGTGGAATTTTGTTAAGACAAAATTCATTGAAGATAAAGCTACCCATAGCTGCTAGCGATTATGCTGAACCTCCACCAGTTCCAGGGACCTGCAGGAGGGGAGCGTGCTATCAGTGGCGTAGCGTGGGGGTGCAGGGGGGCCGGCCGCACCAGGCGCAACATCTGGGGGGGGCACGCTCGCACTCGCAGCTCTCTGCCCCTACCTGGCTCACTCACTCTCTCTCACTGCAGTGCTGGCTGTGCGAATCCGATCCGAGCCGCTGGGTCGCCGCCCACTTTGGAGGGGGTGGGTGCCAGGCGTGCAGTGTGGAGAGAGAGCGAGGGACTATCTGGGGGAGGGACAGTGCAGCGGCCGCCCAGCGCAGCGCTGAGCACGGGAGAGAACCACACCAGACGAGACCAGACCAGGCAGCAGCAAGAAGAAGCTGGCAGCGGCGGCAGGTTAGGGGTTAGGGGGTGCAAATTACTTGCCTTGCCCCGGGTTAGGGGGCGCAAATTACTTGCCTTGTCCCGGGTTAGGGGGCGCAAATTACTTGCCTTGTCCCGGGTTAGGGGGCGCAAATTACTTGCCTTGCCCCGGGTGCTGACAACCCATGCTACGCCGCTGCGTGCTATTGCACTCAGGTCTTGTTTTTGAGCTTCCCAGAAGAACTGTGTTGGCCACTGTGATAACAGTCGTGGACTAGTTGGCCTTTGGCCTGATCTAGCTGCAGAACTCTTCTGTATGTTATTAAGAGTCATGTGGTTCAGATGCCCATAGTGAGTCTGGGGGCAGCGGGGCTCTACATCAGCTATATGACTCTCTCCTAACCTGCAAACCCACCTAGATGTGTGTCCTTCTCTATCTTTTTTCCAGTTTAGTGAGAAGTATGGCTCTGTGTTCACAATGTATTTTGGAGCAGAACGGGTTGTGGTGCTGCATGGCTATGATGCAGTGAAAGAAGCACTGATCGACCGTGGAGATGAATTTGCTGCCAGGGGACGCCTGCCAATAGCTGATGATGTCTACAAGGGATTAGGTATTCTATGCTGGTTGACCAGTGGAGGGGGGGGGACACAGGAAAATCCCTCTATTCATGAAAATAAAGCAAAAAAGGTTGCAAAGACAGGTCATTGCATCTTGTTCCCACTGGACAGTAGCAATAGATAATTAGCAGCCTTTTAATGGCATAGCTATATATTGGCCATTGCCATTTAAGAGAGAAATGAGGCACCTCATAAAAGTACTTAAGCAATATCTAGGGTAGTAGCGGAGAAAGGTGGTTACAGCTAGCATCAAAACATCTAGAGCAAGCATCAAAAATTAAAGCAGGATTGAATGAGTCTCTAGCCTTTAAAAATAATGGTCTGGGGTAATTCTGGTGCGGGCAGTAAGTGTGAGAGTTATGTGAGCAGAATTCCCTGGCCTGGATCTTGTGAATCAAGAAGCTCTCCATACCAAGAAAGAGTTTCAAAGTTGCTGCAAGCTATCGTTAAATTTGTTACCAAAAAAATAAATAAATACAAATCAACACATTGCACTTATACAACTAGCAATGTAGTCCAGTTTTCTTTAAGTTCTTTCTGGTTAATATAGTCCAAGAACTATTGCTTCTTCATTATACTGGCAGCTTCAGAGAGAGACCCAGGCTCCAAGAGATGAATTATCAGTTAACATAAATATCAAAACATTGAAACCTCTTTTTAAGCTTTAGCTGCAAAAATGGACATTCTGCAAATGCAAACCTCCACTACGTTTCATACACAACACGCACAAACATAGCATGTTATGCACATTAAACACATATATTTTACAGTAAGGGCATGTATCAGAAGACTGGCCAGCTACTGATTATGGAATAAGGAGGCACCAAAGTACCAAGTCTCCAGGTGGTCTGGAGCCAAGAATAAGAGCCTCCTGCTCTTCCAACCTGCTTCTTCTGCTCTCCCTTTCAGTCCATCCATCTCCTTCATGCCCATTTCCTCTTCTGCTTTCCAGGAATTATATTGAGCAATGGGGAGGTGTGGAAGCAGCTCCGACATTTTGCCCTTGCCACCATGCGCAACTTTGGCATGGGAAAGAAAAGTATTGAGGAGAGGATCCAGGAGGAAGCACAGTTCCTGCTAGAAAAGTTCCAGGACACGCAGGGTGGGTAGCCACTGCCCCTCATCCACATAGGCTTATCAAGCAGACCCCCTTGAACATCACAACACATTCTGGGGTACATTACAATGGATTATTAACCACCAACTCATAAAGAAATATCATAGTGGTTACAAGGAAATTATTAAAAAAATTAAAATCGTAAAACACAGAACTAGTGACCAAAACTGAATCAAATAAATTACCTAAAAACACTTCTGAAATACAAACATTTTCATCAGGTGATGAAATGCCAAAATTCTAGCTGGTTTCAATAGGAACCACATTCCAATGCACAGGTGCCATTGTGCTCAAAGTTTTAATAGATATAATAGATATCTGCATTGATATGAAACAAACATGTGATGAGTGTGTGGCAATTTGGAAGGCTTCGCCAGATGCTCATAGTGATCTGAGCAGTGTGTATGGGCTAAGGTGGTCCTTAGGTCACCTGGTCCTAGGTAACTGAGGGCTTCATACACATCAGTAATGCACTGAACTTACCTTGTCAATGTAATGGCAAGCAATGCATAGCTTTCAGCAGGGGTGTAATATGCTGACACAGACCAGTTCCAACTAAAGCCCGGCTGCTGCTTCTCTATCAACTGCAAGAGTGCTCCGCAGATATTGTTGAATTCCAGCTGCTTTCATCCCCAACAGTCATCAGTGGTCCAGAAGTTAGAGTCTAGCAGCATCTGAAGTGCTTTAGATTCCCTAGTTTTAGTCTAGACTTCACCAAGGCCTGCTCCACTGTGGTCACCCTTTCCTATCTAAGGATATATTGGCTGAAGCTGGAGGAAAGCACCTTGGAAAGTCCTTGGAAGAAATCACTCATAGCCACTGAAGATGCCCATGCCTCCAGAATTGTTGTGAGAAAGGCAGCTCCATGTCTGACCACTGAGGCCAGGAGCCAGGAAATGGCAGCTCAGAAATTCCAGACTAGATTATTGCTTAAAACCTGTAGTGGGGTTGTATAATTATTATTTTTTTTTGTTCTTCCCGAGAAGCCCTTGGATCCAACCTACTTGCTCAGTTGCGCTCTCTCCAATGTCATTTGTGCAATTATCTTTGGGAAACGATACGATTATAATGACAAGAATTTCCAATCCATGATGAGCTTAATGAATGAAAACTTTCAGGTTTTTAGCTCTCCTTGGGGACAGGTAGGTGCCATCTGGTTAAATGCATTCTTTTCCACAAAGTCTAAAGTTTACTTGCATGTGGAATATTTATTTTATGTAGATACTGCCTCTGGCTGTGGCCATTTTCCTGCTGTTTAAATGTCTTTCTTCCAGGCTTCTCATGGCCCATACTGCCTCTGCCTCTTAATATTTCTGTTAATGTCCTAGTTGCAGCCTTGCCATGGGTAACTGGTTAGCCACTGTGACAGCACAATGGGCCACTGGCCTGATTCAATAGTCTCGTCATACGTTCTTATGTTTTTAATTTGGAGATCCAGTCAAGGCACACAATGCACCTGGGTCTAGTAACCAAGGTTTGACTTAACAGCAGCCCAGTGGAGCAGGAAGTAAAGCTTAACCAGTAAAACCCACACGCTCAAGTTTCTAACTGGAACTAATCACTTGGGATGTATATACACTGCCATTGCCTCTGCATCCAGTGTGCTTCCACCACTGGTTTGAGAAGGTGTGAATACATGACGTTAGCCACAATCCATATCTATCCTGCCTTGTTGCATTTTAAGCCAGCGATGTGTACACAGCCTGGTTTCAACAGGAGGAGCAGATGGGACTAAATTTAGAGATATGTATGTAACCCCATAGCTCAGCTTTACACCATTTGGCTTATTTATATAGGGTCCCAGAGTCAATTCCTAGTAGCATTCCTAGTTAGGAATGGGACTCCTGAATGATACCCAGCAGAGCTGCTGCATAGGCAGTACTGTCCTTGAGAGAACAATGGTCTCATTCAGTATATACCTTTTAACATGTGGAGTTTTTTGGGGGGGGTAATTGGGTTGTTGTTCTTATTTTGATTATGCATTTTGTGGTTTTATATTTTGATTTTAGTCTGTGAACCGCCCTGAGACCTGTGGGTATAAATCTGCATATGACCTCTACAAACATTAGGTAGAGGGTGGGAAAGCACTAACTGAGGGGAAGGGAAGATAATACAATGCAGTACAATCAATGAAGCACCACCCAGTAATGCAGATGGGGAACATCTACATAGATATTCGAGGCATTGGCAGTGAAGATGCTGGTGTGTGGACACAGAGTTGAAATGCACACAAGGCAGCAGTGGCCAACATTATACTGAAGCCCGAGTGTGGACAAACCCTGACTGAGGCTGGTGCCAATGGGTCTCTTGTGGTGTTTCTTCTAGCTCTACAACCTCTTTCCTTCTTTGATGAAATGCATCCCTGGGCCCCACCACAAAGTGCTGAAAAACAACTTGGCACTCAGAGAGTTTGTTTTGGAGGAGGTTGAAGAGCACAAGGCCACTCTGGACACCAACTCACCTCGGGATTTTATCGACTGCTTCCTTATGAAAATGGATCAGGTAATCATGAAAACTCACAGAACTCTCCAAGTGGGTTCTCCTGCGACTCCTGAAGCTTCCCAACCAGCAGACGTCCATCCAGCTTCTTGTGGGGAATGCCAAGCAAAGAGATTCCTGCCCACACCCCATTGGAGTAGATTCATTTCCCATTGCTGACTTGTTCCTGCAGTAAGTGGGAAGTTCTTTCTAATGAATAGACCTCAGGGCAAGGAATGTCCAGAGGAACAAGCTATAAAAAGACTTGAGATAAGATGTGTCTTGGGAAGAGAGCTGGTCCCAGTGGCGCAATTAAATTCTTGTTATGTTGTACTCAGAACAACTGAGTCGACTCCACTGGCTGTGTTGTGTGTTTCTGCAGGAACAGGTAATAGTGCATCCAATTTCACCATTGAAAACTTGGCCATAAGCACAGTTGACTTGTTTGTGGCTGGAACAGAGACCACCAGCACCACATTGCGATACGGGTTCATGATCCTCCTCAAATACCCAGAGATACAAGGTAAAACAGATACGTTATTAGTACTTATTATTCTAGTTCTTTCCCAGATGTATGTGTCACAGGTCCAAGAGGTGGTTGTTCTGCCACTTTCCCCAGGAAAACCCACTGTTCATTGCTGAATGTTAATCATCGCTGACTGACATCAGCAGTAAACAGAAGGCTTTCGTGGAGACAACAGTGGGGGTGTGTGTGTGTGGACAAAATGCTCAGACCCATGCCTAGAAATCCCAGCAAAAACAGAAGTGTGGATGAGCTCTTATAGCTGACCATATTGCAAACCCTAGGATTTATATGCAAACAGTAACAACTTGAATTTGGCTCAGTAGTGTACTGGCAGCCACTGCAGATCCTTTAGACCAGGCATATCCAAAGCCCATTTTGGGGACCTAATCCAGCCTGCTGGTTGGTTTAATCAGGCCCCAGCGGCAGTTTATTTCCTGGGGTAAAATCCTTTAAAAAAGGTCAACAACTTTGGTTTACTTCATCCATTCTGGCCCTCTTTGAAAAAAGTTTGGACACCACTGCTTTAGAAAAAGGCACAACCACAAGGGCCAGGGGCCAACGGGCCCTCAGGTAGGATCAGAATCACTGCAGGACAGTGCCTCCAATAGGAATCTCTCTAAGCTGGACCATCACTTGCTCCTATAACATCCCTAAAGCTTTTGTCCCACTGGGCTCCTTTTGGATAGAAATTAAATTAATATATAAATAATCACAGTTATACTATGTTTCCCTGTTTACAGATGGATTGCTGAAGGTGAGCTACAATAACTTGCCTGTGGTGACGAGTTAGTAGAAACATGGCATCAGAAAACAATTGAAAGCTCCAAAATGTCAAGGGGCTGGCAGGCACTCCCACTGAGTTTCAGTTTCTTCTGTAATGTTTCCTGCACTGGCATTAAACGTCATTCTTCCCATTGCAGAGAAAGTGCATGAAGAAATTGACCGAGTTATTGGCCGATCACGAAGTCCTTGCATGGCAGATCGTGGGGAAATGCCTTATACAGATGCGGTCATCCATGAGATCCAGAGGTTCATCTCTCTAGTCCCACTGAGCGCCCCTCATGCAGTACTGAAAGACACACCGTTCAGACAATATGTCATTCCAAAGGTCAGCTCTTTTCAAGGCTCTAAGTAGTAATAGTAGGCTGCTAGCCATGATGGCTATATTCTACCTCCATGGTGAGAGGCAGCATGCTTCTGAATACCAGTGGGTGGAAACCACAGGAATTGAGAGTGCTGTCTTGTTTAGATTATGTTGATGGGCTTCCCATGGGCATTTGGTTGGACACCATGAAAACAGGATGCTGGACCAGATGGGGCCACTGGACTGATCCAGCAGAGCTTTTCTTCTTATCTTATGTACAAGCAAGGGAAGTAGTTTAGCCTAACTCCTAAAGCGTAGCTGGGCATCTTGAAGCCTGGACTTCGTTTTAAACACCCTATTGCCTTCTGAAGCTGCTCCATTCTTCTCTGTATCAACAAAGTACCTTCCTTCCTGTTAGTGCCTTCCCACACCATTCCTTTGTGAGAGTCAATTTTATGCTTTTGTTGGGTGTCATGGCCATCCAGCCCATTTCTTTGCACTCTCTGCAGGGCACTACCATATATCCAAGTCTGACATCTGTGCTACATGACAGCAAAGAATTTCCAAACCCCAAAGAATTTGACCCAGGACATTTCTTGCACAAAGATGGCACCTTCAGGAAGAGCGACTATTTCATGCCTTTCTCAGCAGGTAAGATCTCTGCTTCCTCAGTTGGCTGCAGTCTTGGCCAGCTCAGGTCTTTCCCGTCTCCCTAATCGGCTGATGTCGGGGCAATGAGGGGGAACCTCCTTCCTCCTGCAGCCTAAATTGGAAGGGCTGCCAGATTGTGAGAGAGGGGCAGAGGCTTCTGGGTCCATCAGAACTCCTTGTACCTTTCCTGTGACCAGCTGAAGCAAAAGAAATGGTGGAAAGAGTGACTCTCCCAGGAGCTGTTCTGGAGCAGCACCTTTGCTCCTTTGGCATGATTGTTATTTTCTCCGTAACAGCCAAAGTGGTTGTTATGTATCTTACACTTTGAGTTTCCTTTGCAGGGAAGCGGATATGTGCGGGGGAAGGTCTGGCCCGTATGGAGATCTTCTTGTTCTTGACCACCATATTACAGAACTTCACTCTGAAGTCCATCATTGACCCCAAGGACATCGATCTCACACCGGTGTTGAGCAGCATAGGCAACTGCCCTCGGCCCTATCAGCTCTGCATTGTCCCTCGCTGAAAAGCCTGCCTCAGGAGGGCTGCACATGTGGAAAAGTCGCAGCCTGGCAAATCTTTGTTCAAAAAACCCATAACACAATATCTCCTCACGTGTGGAGCCATATCTTCTTACCTGACTATTTGTTGAACTGTTACTTTGGGGATTCATATGCATATGTGTGCAGTGACGTAGCTACCTGCCCTAGCTAGCTAGTGCAGGGGGCAGGGGCGTGCCCTGCAGCCAGGGGTATGTCGAGCCACCCATGGGGGCGGGGCGAACCTCTCCAATGCTTGGAGCCTCTCCGCCACCTCCCCCTCAGTTGTAGGGCGTCTGAGGGAGAGGCAGTAGGCAGACACAAATCCCACGCTGCAGCGTGAAACTTGCAGGTGCCTAAGCCACCATGTCATTCCAAAAAATTTTGTGAGCCCAATTTTTAAAAAACTCATTTTGTCACACAGCCCTCATTGGTGACATCCGGGGCAGACTGCACCCCTACATCCCCTTATTCCACCACTGTATTAGTGTGATGGGCAAAATCTGCCAAGATGGAAGCTTTTTAGCCACTGAGAAGAAGTCCTGTTACTCTTTGTGTCTTTGGAGGGTGCTGCAGAAATCAATAGCTTTTGAAATCTTTGCCCCTTTCACCTAGTAGAACAACCTTGAGACTTGACATTTACAAATGTTTGCCAAAATCCCTTTAAGGGTAAACATGTTCTAAAGAACAGATAGCAATGCTGGATGCAACTGAACTTCTCAGTAAGTATGGGAAATGAACTAAGTTGGATCCAGTGATCTGCTAGTCCTAGGAAGCATTTCTTCAAGAAAGGCACAGATGGGCAAGATCTCCCAAGCCCACCTTGGATGAACTTGGATGAGAAAACTTCTTTTTTATACCCTTGAGCCCAACCAAGGCTCTCATTGTCTTTAAAAATCTAGGAGGTCCGGGAAACAAGCTAATGAAAAATAAGTAATGGAAAGATTGAGTTGTTTTTAACTATTTTTATTTTGTATTTTTCTTTTTTCTATTTTTATTTTGTAATATTTTGAAAACCTTAATAAATATCTTATTTTTTTTAAAAAAATTAGAACAGAGTGAAAATGGCCCTCCCCCAAATTCTCCACTTACTTTGTGGGTGGCAAAATAAGGAAGGTCATTTCACTGAATATTCCCCAAGGGAGGTCTGAAAACCTCCAGGAGGACTTGGAGAGGGAAAACTTTCAAAGAATTGTCAGAATTTCTTTCCTCTCAGTCTTCCTTCAGCCCTGCTCCCATTCAGTGTAAAAGAAAAATGTTTCCCTAGTACAAATTCAGAGGCAGCCTGGGCAAAATTGGTGAGGGGAAGTCCACCTATGAAGTTAACCAAGGGAGAATGGTCTTCCTCTTCTGTATTCAGATTTTTTCTTTTTGGTTCCTGCACCCTCTCAATTATGCTCCTATTCAAAGTAGTGAAGTAATGTTTCTCCATTGCACTGAATGGAAGGGGCAAGAGGAAGGAACTTGTCTCTGATTTGCATTTTAATTCAAGCTGGAGAAGAATTCGGGGCTTGTCCTCTGTCCCCATTGAAACTCCTGAAGGTCTTCTTCAAACCAAAGTTTGAAGAAGTGTGATGGTTTCACTAGCATAGAAAACCACTGCTCCACTTCTTCTGGAGAATAAGAGCACATCCAGATGTATGTATTTTTTTACATGTTTGTGAAATGGAATAGCTTTATAAATGTCATTCACCCTCCCAGAGCTAAATAAATAATACTTTGACAAACTGAATGCTGTCACTTGTAAAGATTATGCAAGTATAGCAATTTTATTTTATTTGCAGACTTATAAACTGCTTCACAACCAAACATTACTGAAGCTGTGTACAATAAAATAAAAAGGATTCCTAATGCAGTAAACTACATTTGCTTTGCATAATTTATTCTGACTCTGCAAGGCTTCAGGAGGAAAGAGTTGCTTTGCAGGCCACTGATACCTTCACCCCCTGAAATCCTAAGCTCCTTCTAGTTTCTACCAGGCATTGCTTATGCACTTCGGAGCTTAGCCTTTGTTTCTAATGTAACCCAGGCTACTGCCATTCATTGTATTAGTAGCAATCCAGCACACCTTCATTTACTAGAGTAAGATGTGGCAATTATTGTTCCCCCTTCTCTTCCAAGAGATAGCTGCAGGAGCATGCGCAGTAGGTTGCTTTTTAGGGTGGTTTGAATGGCTGCTCTCAGAAGATTCTGGCAGTCTCACCTGGCCCTGGGAGAGAGAACAAAAGAGAACTCTGCTGGAGCAGGTCAGAGGCCTATCTAGTCCAGCATCCTGCTCTCCCTGTGGCCAACCAGATGCCTATGAGAAGCCCTCAAGGAGCAACTGAGCGCTACAGTGCTCTCCTCCCCATTTGCAGTTCCCAGCAACATTTGAGGGCGATTCCTAACTGTGTAGTGCATCAATGACAGCTCCATAATAAAATCCAGAGTCAGGCCACCGGGATTTAAATATCTTGCTTTTCTAACACATTGCTTAAAAAAATCCCTCCACCTTAAAAACACAGACATTTAAAACAAATTACTAATAAAATCACACGATTAAATTTATGGCACATGACTGCAGTTCTGTGCATGGTTGGGAGTAAGAACCATTGAACACAATGGTGCGTATTTCTGCTGTATAGGTTCAATTTTTAAAACACATTTGGTTTTAGAAAATGACATCGAGATAGCAGAAACGCAACCTTTTACTTTTAATTAGCAATGCAAACAACTTTTTGTTATTTATTTTTGGAATTTTACAACAAAATCAAACAACCCCCTGTCTCCCCACCTCCCCTACGCATCCTCCCCCTTCCTCACATGCCCTCAAACCTCTGTATTCCTCCCTAGCCCCAATTGCCCTTAATCCCCCCCATCCCACAGCATTTGTATTTGTTTGTATGATCAGTGGCAAACCTGTACTTTCACTACTGATTCCCCTGACACATCTAATCTAAGGATGACATGCTGCTTATGATGTAACAATGCAAGCAATCTAGAATTTACAGACATTTATAGACCACGTCCACACAGGATTAAAGTGTAGTATTTTGTCTCAAACTGCCCCACTGAACAAGCTTATATTAGCTGACGAAAACCCTCTCCCATGCCCACACTTTTAAGCAGTTTGCCGTTGCTTCTTTTTATCTAAGTTGTATATTAAAAAAAGAGGAGATCTGTGTTTATTTGTAAAGGGAGTAAGATTTGCTAGGGCATACTTCCTCAGATGCAGAATGGGTGGCAACAACAAAAATATAGTATTAGTATTATTAATAATGTACAGTGGTACCTCAGGTTAAGTACTTAATTCGTTCTGTAGGTCCCTTCTTAACCTGAAACTGTTCTTAACCTGAAGCATCACTTTAGCTAATGGGGCCTCCTGCTACTGCCATGCCGCCAGAGTACTATTTCTCTTCTCATCCTGAAGCAAACTTCCTAACCCGAGGTAATATTTCTGGGTTAGCGGAGTCTGTAACCTGAAGCGCCTGAAACCCGAGGTGCCACTGTACATCGCTTTTCTCTGGAGGGAGGCAAGGGTATGCATATCCCTAAACATTTTGTGAATCTAATGGGAGAAGAAACTAAAAAAATTAAAATATGTAATTTCTCCTCAGCACGGTGAATCGGAAGTTCCGTTGCTACCCCCGATGGCAGTCTTTGGTCCATTTACTGCATTTATTTTTCCTGATTTGAACTATAAAATGGTGATTTTCTTGAGTCAAAATGAGAGTACACCTACACTATCCTGCTTAATATTGATATTTTAGATTGCTGTAACCTGCCATGGGACCTTATGGTGCAAAGCAGGGAAGAATTCAATATACAGTGGTACCTCGGGTTAAGAACTTAATTTGTTCTGGAGGTCCGTTCTTAACCTGAAACTGTTCTTAACCTGAAGCACCACTTTAGCTATTGGGGCCTCCCACTGCTGCCGCTGCACGATTTCTGTTCTCATCCTGAAGCAAAGTTCTTAACTTGAGGTACTTCTTCTGGATTAGCAGAGTCTGTAACCTGAAGCATCTGTAACCCGAGGTGCCACTGTATAGTAATAAAGGAGAATGCATGCTTTCTCCCTGAGGATCCCCATGCACCTCACATTTGGACACTAAGCACTGGTTACCCACAAGTGCAGCAGCAAGAATGCAGCCTCCTGTTCATTCTGTCGACCACAGCCCTGTCTCCTTCCTCTGTGGGCTCATCATGGTGTAGTTATACTGCCTTTATAATAATCAGATTATGGTGCCTTGCACTGACACAGGAATGTAAGAAGCTGGCTTATCTTGAGTCACAGGGCTCTTCAGGCCCCTATCAAGAGATAACGGGTCTTGAACCTGGGACCATGTGCTTGTAAGGCAGAGGTTTTACCAACTCACCAGTTGCTCTGGCAAAGAAACTCAGTTTATGCAATCTGAACTCTGGTGAACTGAGTTGGCCTCTCTCTGCAGAGGAGCCATAAAGTGTCCCAGCTGTGGCTAGAATGGGCTGAACTTCTGCGATCTGCACTGACAGGAGATTGACTCGAAACACACAGAGCAGCAACAGTTGTTGGCAAGAACACCTGGTGCACTTTGGTTTATGAACCGAACCACGAGTTCAAATAAGTTTATGCAAACTGAACTGACAAGTCAGTTTGAAAGAGAATTTAACATTGGTATAAGGGAGATATTATCCCAGCTAATTACAGTAATTTTATGGATGTCTATAACCTGTTCCAGGATATGTTTAAGCTGTGAATCAGTGTAAAAAAGGCCAGCTAATATACACAACGGGATATTTACTCTCTTCTTTTTGACATCGTTTTTTGAAATGCTTGAGGATCACTCCTGTTTTAGGAGCTACCCCTTAAAAGGGGACCTCTCAATATTTTAAATAAATAACTTGGCAGGCTTCCATCATCTACATGCTCCCCTCTTGTACTAAATATGATTTCCAGAGGTGGATGGAAGAATTGGACTAAATGAAAACAAGAAGTTAATTCTCTGTGTCACCATGTCCACTAGTGACCATGGTTTTGTCCCCACTAGGGCACATGTGAGTCACTGTTTTGATGAGCACATTAGTGTGTCTTATCAATACAAAAGCACTTCCAGGTTTATGTCTCCAAAATCTATCTTGGTGTGTCCTGTCCACATTAGTGGGTAGTGCTAGATGGGATTGTTGGGGGAAACAAATAAACTTCCTTCTCCTGAACCTCTAGCTAATGCATGTATTACTTTAAACCACACAAGAGCACTGTTTGTGTAGCAAGCAAGTCAGCATTTGCTCGTAGTCTTTTTCTAAGTTAACTCCACCTGTAAAAGCATTTTGTTGTTCTCTCCTGATAAGATGCCTGCTATTGCTCTCTCTTTTTATCTCTACTCATCCTGTAAATCGTTCTTGCCAAGATAATTCTGTTCCTGCATGAATAAAGCTGTAGAAATCCAGAAACTGTACATAAACTTCTCAGTTTACTTCACCCAAGCTGCAAGGTCTGCTAACAGGGATGTATTTTGCTGAGGCTGAGCTCCATTATGGACCTGCCTTCAAGTTTATTTCAAAAATGTGTGTTCCAATAGTCCGGACTTGCCCAAAATTGCAGTAATTTATTTTAAATGTGTGTTGCTCCAAGCCATGCAATCTATTGTGTTTTTTTGTTTTTGTTTTTTGTTTTTTTGTTTACCTGTCTGGCATACATACCTTTGATTTTTTAAAAAATAATAATGCAAGTTTTCTCTATACTTCTGACACAATTTGTCACATTTGTGGGCATCTAAGGTGCAAGAAGCTTCCAACCAAGCACTCAGAGTGTAGAAGAAGCTCTACTGCAGGAACCTTAAAAGCAGAA